ATATCATGTGTTTCGTTTACTCATTAATGGCCTTGAAATAGTAGTTTGTTAAAGATATGATAAAATACTAGTTTGTTAAAGATATGATAAAATACTAGTTTGTTAAAGATATGATAAACTACTACTACTACTACTACTACTACTACCTGCTACTACTGCTACTACTACTACTACTACTGCTACTGCTACTGCTACTGCTACTGCTACTGCTACTGCTACTGCTACTCCTACTACTGCTACTGCTACTGCTACTACTGCTACTGCTACTACTACTACTACTACTACTGCTACTGCTACTACTACTCCTACCTGCTACTACCTGCTACCTGCTACTACTCCTACTACTACTACTACTCCTACTACTACTAATTTTTGTTCAAAGCCACTAACGAGTTGTTCATCTGATAAAGATGCTGCTACTACTACTATTACTACTACTATTACTACTACTACTAATTTTTGTTCAAAGCCACTAATGAGTTGTTTATTTGCTAAAGATACTACCACTACTACTACTAGGATGTGAGTGGTTTCAGAGCCACTAATGAGTTGTTAATCTAAAAAATATACTAGCTGTTGTTGCTACTACTACTACTACTACTAATTTTTGTTCAAAGCCACTAATGGGTTAATCTGATAAAGATACTAGCTGCTGTTGTTGCTACTACTACTCTTACTAATTTTTGTTCAGAGCTACTAATGAGTTGTTAATTTAATAAAGATACTAGCTGCTATTGCTGCTGTTGCTACTACTACTATTAAATTTTGTTTAGAGCCACTGATGAGTTGTTTATCTGATAAAGATACTACCATTACTACTACTAGGACGTAAGTGATTTTAGAGCCACTAATGAGTTGTTAATTTGACAAAGATACTAGCTATTGTTGCTGCTGCTACTACTATTACTACTAATTTTTGTTTAGAGCCACTAATGAGTTGTTAATTTGATAAGGATTGATACTAGCTATTGCTGCTGTTGCTACTACTATTAATGAGTTGTTAATTTGATAAAGATTGATACTAGCTACTACTACTGCTGCTGTTGCTGTTACTACTGCAACTAATGAGTTAATTTGATAAAGATTGATACTAGTTGCTGCTTTTGATAAAGATGGATACTATTGTTAATCTTTGATACTGCTTCTAATAAAGATTCATACTGCTTCTGATAAAGATTGATACTAGCTACTGCTTCTGATAAAGATTGATACTAGCTACCGCTTCTGATAAAGATTGATATTAGCTGCTGCTTCTAATAAAGATTGATACTATTGTTAATCTTTGATACTACTTCTGATAAAGGTTGATACTGGCTACTACTTGATGTTAGTGTCTAAGAAAGTTAATTTTTTTGAATGCATCAAACTAATGTGGGGATATATCTTTAAGACTTTTAGGGAGGGATTAATTTCAAAATGCACAAAATTGGTTAGGAGACACTCTAACAATAAATAATAAATAAATAATTATAAGTTTTAATCTCAAACTAAACAAAATCAATATTTTAAAACAGATAATTGAAAATTTTTGTGTTCCTGAACAATTTATTGTCTAATAGTAACCATTCTCCAAAATTACATGTTAACTTTTGGAGTAATAATAGGGCAAAAATTTGGAACTAATAACGTGATTCATGCTACATAATTAAATTAATTGATGCATACAATATTATAAGTTTTAAAAAATAAATAAAATTAATTATTAAATAATATCAAATTCACCTTTTAATATTTTAAATAATATAACATAAATCACATTATTAGTCCCAAATTTTGAGCCCAAGTTTTAGTCTTATTTATGATTATTTTAATTTTTGAGACCTGAAATTGTGGGCAATGGTACAAACGATTTCTAGCTTTTTTAGCCAATTGCCATTCATATGGACGTGGACCACACCACAATAAACCACAATAATACTTGTCAACTATTATGCCACATCATCACACACTGTGGTTTAAACGTATCTTCGCAACGGTAGGGGAAAATAGGGCAAAGAAAAATTAATTCACCTTTGTAACTGCTTGAAAGGAAACCCTAGGACAATATACTATAAATACCAATGCTCTCTAGCTCTTTCCCACACCAAAAGCCTACAACTTCATGTAGCTAGCCCCATTCTCGCATTTATCCACTTCAAACTTTTGCACATACAAAATAAAAATGTCAACCCAACCCTCGACAGTTCCAACCTCTCCTCAAAATTCAACTTGCAAAGATAGCCGTCCTACATCTGGTTATCATCCTTGCATTTGGAAGGATCATTTTCTCAAGCATTCCTTCAACTTCATGGTAATTAATCATATTATAAAATTCCTAAATCAACACTCTTGTAAAAGTTTTGGGTTAAGCAACACTTTTATAAAAAGTATATTGTTTATGGTTTTTTTTTTTTTTGGGGGGGGGAGTGGGAGAGCCAAGATGCATGAGGTGATTGTTTGGGTTATGCGCATGTCAGCATCATATCACCAAATGAAAGTTTTGTTTTAATTACCTACGTACTACAATTTCTTGGTCCACACACTCTTTACTACTTCTTAGCATCACTATACTATTTTTCAGAAAAGTTTACCAAGATGGAGCACAAAATTGAATTTTTGTGTTGCATACTTAAGGTTTTGTTTTTGAAATACACGTGCAGAAAATTGATGCCAAAACTCAACAAGAATATGAAGAACTGAAGCAACAAGTAAGGAGAATGCTGCTAGATGATGCCACCTTTGATCCTTCAAAGAAACTTTGTTTGATTGATGCAGTACAACGCTTAGGCATTTCTTACCATTTTGAGACTGAAATCAAAAATGCCTTGGAGAAGATATATCTTGGTGGTGCTGATAGTATTGAATCTAATTTGTATATTGTTGCTCTTTGGTTTCGGTTACTTAGACAACAAGGGATCAAAGTTTCATCTGGTCAATTCTTATCCTAATCTTTGAAAGATATATAATACATATCTATTGTAAGATTGTTTTTATGAGTTAATAATGAAATGATTTAATTAGTTGAACTGAAGCTGCTCACGTTGTTGATATGTAGAGATGTTCAAGAAATTCATGGATGAGGAAGGAAATTTCAAGGAAGATTTAGTGAATGATGTGCTTGGAATGTTGAATCTATATGAGGCTGCACATCTTTGTGTGCATGGAGAAGATATCTTGGATGAAGCCATTGCATTCACTACCTCACACCTTGAATTGATGGCAACAAAAGTAAGCCCTTTGCTTGCAGAACAAATAACTCATGCCTTGAATCGCCCCATCCAAAAAGGCTTACCAAGAGTAGAAGCAAGGCATTATATATCTTTG